CATATTTGTTGAAAAACATGGTAAAAAAAAAATCATCATGATTCTGTAAACTGGAAAACCACCCAGTGCACGAGCTTGGATGAGTCTGCACAGTACTGTACAGCAGACAAATAGATTCTGTACCTAATTTTGTGTTGTTTTTGAGGCTGTTTTCCCACTGCTGTAATGTTCACCTCTTTTTCACAGTGACTCATGGATGGCATCGTAGATGTTCCTTTATGGTGCATGAAATTCTTTTGCAATTTATTGTGGGTCTCCAAGGCCTCAGCCATATGAAGGCCACAGGTTAGCAATTCTTGAAATGTCTTGAATAATGGTTGGTATCAATAACATGAAGTATCTTGAGGTAAAGCTATCTTACCCATGTCACATTGTCACTCTTCTGGCTCAGAGAGCATTTGTGGAGCTGGATGAACTTTGCCCCTCACAGATTTCTTTTCATGTCTGAGCCAACCATTCCCTCTGCTCAGCAGACCCAATAAGAAGTTTCCTGACTGGAAGGCATTTCTGTGAAAAACCTCTGTGATGATTCATTCAAAAAAAAAAAAAAAGGAAAAAAAAGTACATCCACCCACAACCTTGAACTGCAAAGAACACGATCAGGATTCTATAGCCAAGAGCCATGAATGGGATTCCCAAACCTTCACCCAGTGAGAACACTGAAGGGCAGAAGGGATGCTGAATTACTACAAGTTATACAATTTTGTGAACATTCCTGTATACCAGCCCATGCAACCTCGTGGCAGCATGGATTGTCATTTAGTGAAGCACAACTCCAATGAGCAAACAAAATATTTGTGTTCCTATTTCTCTGCTGGAGGACTTCAGTGCCCAAATACCAAACATGTAAGTGGGGTCAGTTCTGCAAAATTTCATTTACAAAGATAAAAACCTTTTATACCCTAAAATTAAGAAGTCACTGCTTGTGCTGGATTATCCAGTGTCCCTACATAATGCCTATGAGGCAGACACAATGCAGGTTATGGCTGAGACTGACAACTGAGAGAGTTAAGAGAGCTTTAAAAGCTGCAACCTCAGAGCAGCTTGAGGTACCTCACTTTATATCCACAAGGAAATATGGTCCCTGCCTTTCAGCTAAAGCTCAGTGTCTTGTCTGTTTAACCACTTGTAATCTGACCATGCACTTAGATACCTTCCAAAATGGAAAATTTACATTGGCCAGAAGAGATTTATAAATCTCTGAGCTTCAGTCCTAGAAAACTACAAAGACTGAAGGTGCAAGTGTTTTTTTCTCTGGAATGGGACAGGAGAGTGAAAACAGAGCTGATTTTCCACTTAATTCTCCCTCATGTCTGTACCTTTTACAAGTCATTACATCTCAAAGGACCAGAAATATATATTCATTTCCAGGCCCCGTCTTGGGCTGGTAAAATGCAACAGTGGCTTTTCACAGCCTTGAGCATCCACATTCAGAGCAGCCTGCAGTGATTTTTCTGGCAACATTTCACTTCCTATCATTTTGCATAAATGATTGTAATAACAATATGCTACCAATAAAACATGCTATCAAAACTGTTCTTCTTTTGAGTGATGTGATTTCTATGTATTAATGGGAATGTCACACTCACACACTCACACAGGGGCAGAATGGCCCCTGAAGTGTTTTTACTCAATTTCTCCTGGTGGGTGACTTTGTCCTCATAACCTTTATAAAGCTGTGGTACTTTATAAAATGCTAAAGGTCTCCTGAAGGTTGGTACACACCGCTATTCTAATCTCCATTTTGTGAGATTTCAGCCAAATTAGAAAAATCTGGTAACTGAGACATATTCCCACAGTAGAGTTCTAGATTCTAAAGTACAAGCTGTTGACTCTGCCCAGGCACTTTTTTGGTTGGTTGTCTTTTTAAGTAACTTTAACAGCAAAAGACATGAAGGAAATTATTTGGAGATATGCTGCTTATTCATCAAGGCAAAGTCATCATTTGGAAAAAAAGCTCCTAGTTTTATTATTGTTTAGTTCATCCTGCTTTTGCAAATAGGATTCAACAAAACTCTAAGGTAACTGAAGTGAAAAACAGTACATATTTCATATTTTCATGTGTAGGATTCTCATTTCCAGGCAGTGAGAATCCCTGCAACCTTAACCTTCAAAAAACCACCTTCCTGAATATAACCAATATATTCCAAATTCCAAGGTGAGCAGATCCATTCTGAGTTTGTCCAGAATTATTACTCCAGTGCATTGCTGAGAGACAAAGTGCTGCAAAAAGCAGTCCTTTAAATGACATTACTACAGTTTAGAGGTTCTAATTTATCCCAAATGTTTCTTACAGGATCCTCTCTATCTCAGTAGATACAGAAGCATCTATTGTTATGACAGAAGTCTTAGCTGTTCTCTTACCTCAGGGTCTTTTCAGTCTGCAAGCAAATTGTGAGTCTTCAAAGCCATTTTCTATTGTTGTAGGTTTGTTATAAACTAACCCTTGAGAAAATTTACAGCAAGTGTAAAAAATTTATCCACCCTCTTTAGATCCAGATTTGAACAAAAATCCTTGAAGATAACAGACTTAGAGGTAAATAGAAGATGGAAAAAAATCTATCATGAATTTAACAGAGTTGTAGGATGCAAGGGAAACCTTGAAGGGAGTTATATTATGATAATTTATTTTCTAGATAAATAAAATGCCCTATATTTAGCTTAATCTGTATATCCAAGCATTTATTTTGATACCACAGATATTTCCTTATCTAACTGGGGAAGACAAGGATGGTGGTAAGGAATGGCTGAGGAGTGAACAGTGGCACTTCCTGCTCAAAGTGAGACAGGATGGAGCTCCTCCCCAGTCACTCCTGGCAGTGTTCAACACTTCCAAGAACCAGCAATGGCAGATGCCAAATAAAGCACATAATTCTGCAATCTGTGTACAAAATTATTCACCAAAACTGCAAGGAGGGCTACAAAGACAGGCAGAGGGGAGAAAAAAGGGCATGAAGAAGCGACAGTTATTTTATGCCTACTGAAACATCACCTGGATGAAAGGAAAGACATCAGGGTCATCCTGATAAGGGACAAAAAGAACACAGTTAAGAAATAAGACATAGGTATAATCAGGATAGTAAACAATTCAGCTTGGATATTAATATATCATCAGAGAAGTGAGTGTCTGCAATAATCTTTGATTGTATGGCAAAACATTGCCACGTTTAGAGCAAGAGGATTATTCTCTGAACCAGGACAAGAGAGTGTCCAGACAAACCCCTGGCCATGATGACCCACAGGATTTAACCCCACAGAAGCTTAACACTGGGAGCACACTGAGGTTGCCATGAGGTGGTGAGGATTGCTGCTTACAAAAACTGCTCTTCTAGAACCAGTAATTAAAGACAAACCGTTCCAGAGAGAGCACACCAAGGATCTGAGGCACTGAGCTTTTCCACCAAGCGAGCAGCTGGCACAGACTCTGATTCTGCTGTCTCTCAGCAGAAGGGCAGAGCCAGACAACAGCATCGGAAGCAGCAGCAATCCTCCAAAAAAAGAGGCAGGCACACATCACAGCATTTGTGCAATGAGTCAGAAAAGGCTGTAAATCGGCCCAAGATCCTCTGGAACAAAGCCTCTTTAGGAATATAAAATCTCTGTCATGGGCTGGGCTTCTAGGAAGGCAAGTCATTCATTTGGGCCATATTTCATAATCCCATGCTGCCAAATTTACATTATAGTTTCTCCCCTTCCTCAGTGACAGCAAAGGCACCTACCGGGGGTGTTTCAGGGCACATGACATATGCTGCACCCCTTTGGGGTAGGACTGAATTAGAGAAGTTTTGGTTTTGTTCTCATTTTCACCACAAATCCAATGTGTGACCAGAGGAAAGTAACTTATTTTCTTTGTATTTACCTTCAAAATTTTTTCGAAATTTCACAAAAGTATTTACCTTCTAAACTTTTCTCTAAAACTTTTTTTTCCCCACCTAGAACATTTCAGCAAGGTTTTAAGTAAGCATCACCATAGAGCACTTATCAAAATAAATAAATAAATTCCAGTTATGGGTCAACACGCTACAAATAGCAAATGAAAAGGATCTTCCCCGATGACACCATGAATATATATGCAGAGAAACAATAGAAATAGTAAAGGTAATTTTAAAATTTAATCAGAAAATCAAAACAATGGAAAAATATTGGGAATGTAGAGCTCATTAGGGCAAGCAGAGTCTATTAACTGTTCAGCTGTCCAAGCACAGAGCAGAAAATCTCTTGTTTGCTTATCACTGAGTACAATGACCACTATGATCCCAGCTGTAATCAAATACACAGTTGAAAGTGAACTAAACCAAGGAAATCAAAACCAAGAAACACAGGGCTAGATCTTTCCACCACTGCCTCTGGTGGAATTAACTGGCTGAATGCTCCCACTCACTCCAGCTAATCAGAAGTTAATAATTATGACCCTGAACAGCTTCCCACTGCTGGTGGGATCTTCCCCATACACAAGAAAGCTTATGTAAAATGACTTACATTAGTACAAGACACCTTTTTTTTTTTTTTCCCCATCTTTCTGTCTACATAAAATTGGATGTGCATTGTTACCCCAATATTTACATAAAGCACAACAATGACTTCTGTCTCTGGGTCACCAGCAGTTCATCTGCACCACTGCACTTCAGTCTGCTGCAATGTCAGGGGGGACAGACTGGCTACAGCTTCACCTCTACCCTCTATTCTATTTATGAAGACTAATGACTAAAAATTCTAACAGTCAAATAAGAAAAAGAGCATGAAATGCATCTACAATAATAGGGAACAATTATGTGTCTCAAAATGTAACCACTTGGAAATTCAGTCTGTCAAGGAACTGGACATTTAATTATTATAATCATTCTAAACAAGAACTAATTGAAACTGAAGATTCACTTTTATCTAGAATTTTGCTTATGAATTTTAAGTATGTTACCTATTAGGATATAACCAAAGCTATGAAAATCCAAACAAATTATTCCCCTTCCAGTAAGCCTTCCTTATGCAGTACAAGCCTGCTCTCCTTTTTTTTTGAGGCATCTCAATGAATATTTCTAGCTAATGGCTAAATTCTTTTTCATATCTAGATTCAAAGAGGCAAGGAATATGTATACTTTGCTATTCCCCTAGAGAATGGATTTATTTTAGGACAAGAAAAACTATGCGTGCTTTCAAATTTTATCTCTTCCTCACGCTTTTCTGCCATCATTTATGAATGTAAAGGTTAAACTACCTCGAACTATCTAAGGAAATAAATCTAATTGCACAGCTATAACCAAAGTTTGCCCTACAATAATTGCTACTAATTTTATAAGTTCCATCTTTTCACCTTCATACCATCTTCATAGGTACTAAATTACAGTTGAAAATACACTAAGACATAATTTATAACACAGTCAATTCACTGGGATAAGCTTTGTATCTTTAGGTTGTACTGTAAGAAACACCTCAGACAAATCCATAGAATCAGGTAGCTTGAAAAGACTTTAGAGATCATCTGTACCAGTTCTAGCATCAGCATTTTCTTTCTATGATCCCCTAAGTTACATTCATGACCTAAACTCATTTAAAACAATTTTACATATCTTTGTGTCCTTGAGAAAGTCTTATCCTTGGTGCACCACAAGAAGCTCAGGTGTGTTCTTCCACAATTTCCATCCAGGTCTCAGATCCTTGAGAATCCAAGGTGCATTTCAGGTGGAACCAAATCTCCTTGTTTTTTTCTTGTAAAATTATCATGTACCACTGAATAGTAAAATCCAGGCTCAGGAACTGCAGCCACAGATGAAAAGGAGAGGTGCTGTCCTTTTTCCCAACTCCTTTGCAAGTTTGAAGGATGAAGTTAATAACATCATGACAAAAAAGGGTCTCTGTGTAACAGCCAAGGAACAGCTCCACATGCCATTGTCCTGGGAGTGACCCTCAGGTTTAGCCTTTGCTACCGTGTTACCTGTAAAAGAAGAGGAAAGAGAAATTCTACTTACACAGAATTGACCATAAAAAAAGATGGTATCAGGTGCATTGTTACTGCAAAAGAGCTGTGCACATAAATAGACAACGAATGAACTTGCCCCAGCCACACCTTTATACCACACAGAGGAGCAGAATCTCTATATAAATGTTAATTACACTGTTATTTGCTAGCATGAGGGGGTTTGCAGATAAAGAAATGGCAGTTCATCATTAAATTTGCCACCAACATCTCCTGGAAATCTCGCATTTTCCTTTGCTTCATGTCATTCCCAACAGCAATGCCTCCAGCACAAGTGTAGGATTTCCATCCCAAAGGGCCACTCGTGCAAACTGCTGCCCATTCCCTGTGGTCCATCCTACGGGAGGGAATCGGGGACCAGGCAGCACACGGAGGGAATAAATTGTTCTTGCAGCAGAAATCTCCCCCAGCCAGCAGAACTCCCACAGGACCCTGGAGGGGTTGCAGGGATGTGCTCAGGTTTTAATGCACGCACAGGGTACAAACCCAGCAGCTCTGGCTGCACAGTGAGGAGGGTCCTGTTGGATTTCCTGTCCTGGAAATGGATGAGAACAGGCAGCTGGGAGGAGGAAAGCTTTGTCAGCTCTGCTCTGCAGTGTCTACATGTGTCACAAAACTAAACAGACACTCAGCATAGAGATTTTATTTCCTTCCCTGAGGGAACTGATGGAAGATGCAAATTCCTCAGCTTTGCACATTTTAACTGTCCCACTCAGACACTAACTATTCATCTAAATACTGAGTAGTGTCAGCAGTCTCCTGTGCTTCAAATATTTTTGTTACACCATTTTTCCTTATTTTCATGGAATGAAAAGATAGAGGACTTAAAGTTGATTAAATGGCATTTCCTCCTTTGGTGTGTAATTAACCTGTGGAAGCCACTGTCCCACGTAGCACTGATCCCAGGGTCTTAAAAAGCTTTAAAAAATTGATTACAAATTTAAATGGTAATGAGATCATCTCTGGTGCATAAAACAAAAAAAAATAGTATGGAATGGATCTCAACTATTGTGTTTTAGACATAAGGCAACTATTAAATTGGAAAAAATTCATGGATGTGTACACTTTCTGTAATTGTCCCCCAAGGGTTTTGCTGTGTCTGATTTGAGCATCCTATTGCTGAGGTTCACAAGTGGCTGAACAGTTTGGGCTACTGGTCTGACAGTTCAAATGGTCCTCTTCAATATACCGAAGAAATATTTTGTTTATTGATCTGAAACAAATCTTTGGTTCGTTTTCAAAGTAAAAATATAAGTTACGCCATACTTCCCTTTTCCCTGTGACAAGGGAATTTATCTTTCCATTCTAGTTTCCTTACTACTGTCCCCAGAAAGGAAGAGGCAGCTGCATGAATGAGGATTTGACACCTCAGGCCTTCAGTCATCAGTGCCAACATAAAAGTCTTTGTTCTGCCCCCCACCCCTCGAGTACCTGTCAAAGGCATCAAGGATAATTAACTCACTCAAAGGATAATTAACCTGACTCACTCTTCTCCAATAAGGTCCTTTTAGTATAAATTGTCAGCTCTCTTTTGGTATGTCCAGAGATGAAGTTGTCTTGTACAGTATTTAGAATTCCTAATTCACCAATCTCACCCTTTAATGAGATGCTACAATGCTACTCCTTATCTACAAATGAGCAGTTAAAAATCAGCACTGGGAAAAAATTGAAAGGCTGAGGGTAACATTTATCTTGCAATAACGGAGTCCCTGTTATCCACTTTGACTCCAGAGTTTGCAGGCCAAATTCCAAGTGTAGTGTCCAGCACAGGAGAACAGCAGGACCCAGGCATGCTATAGACTACATCTCTGGCACTTAACAAATAACATTGGCCATAGAATCATGGAAAGGTTTGGGTTGAAAATGTTCTTGAAGGTCTTCTAGTCCCAGCCCCTCTGCCACATGCAGGGATGCCACTTCCTCTGTGCCACTGTGCAATGTCTATAAACCACCAGTATAAAAACCACAGCTGCCCAAAACATCCAATTTTCTCTCACCCATCCAGAAATTAGTGCAGTTTTCACTCCTCAGAACAGCCTTTACTAAAGAACATTTGGTGACAGTATTGCTTATTAACTCAGACTGTAACCTAATGAACAACATTCTTTCCCAGCTAGAAGAGGCTGTAAAGGGAAAAGCTGAGCATGTCTCTCCTTGCTATTGCCTGCTAAACACTCCTGCTTTATGATGTGTTTAGACGTGCAGTTTGCTGTGACTTGTTGAACTTCAATGCACTGAACTCATTTTAAATTGCCAAGCAGACAGAGGACATGATATTTTCTCTCCATTAATTAGGAAATAAGATGACATAGCAAAGGTCTGGATTAAAATAAAAAATGAGGCCAGCTACAGGGTAGTCTTTAATTAGAAATATTCTGAACCAGCCTGATTTCCAGTGGTGCTCAGTGGCACAGTGGCATCAGTGCAGGTTTCTAACAACTCCCAAGCCAGGCTGCTACTTTCAAAAGGTAAAAGGCTGTCCAGCACAGGAATCTAACTTTAGGTGACAGTGGTAAAGATCTTGGATCCCTGGACTCAGTCTGCAAACTGAAGAATTGCTTCTGGAACATGATTATCCCTGTGGCATTGAGCACAACAAAATAGTTTCTTTGGCTCACTGAAGACTGAATCAGGACCATTTTCAGTTTGACTGCAGAAGTGAAGGGGCAGTTCTGATCTCATATTTCCTCTCTGAGAGTAACTACATTAATCACAGCTTTCCAAAACTTTGAGAGGGCCAAGACTGGTGCTCACACCCACAGACACAATGCAATAAGAGCAATCAGGAGACTGGCACCTTTAAATATAGGTGATCTCTGTACTTGCCTTTGTGGTTTTGACTTTATTTCCACTGCTGCAAGACCAACCTGAATAGTCTGGTAGTACTTTACAGTCCTCTCCATCCAAACAGGGGTTCATATGACACCACCACTTCTGCAGGACAATGGAAGCTAGAAAAAAAAGAAGCAGAAAAGAGAAACAATATCTTTTTTATCACTGTTGGTTTTGGTTTGTTTTTTTTTTTTGAAGGGAGGTTGGCTGTGCCATGTTCAATTGGTTGATTTCAAAAGGGAGAAACAACAATTACTGGTTTAATAGTGAATTACATGGAGTGTGTTTGAAGTAAAAAAGTGGCTGAACACTTCACCAGCCCTCAGAAGGGTAAATGCCATATGAAATGGTAAAGAGGCAGGCACCACCAGGGACTGACTCCAACACTTGAATTGACCTCTGGAAGTGCCTTTCCATCTCCACTGACTACAAAAATGACTCTTCTCCTTCATTTGCATGCTTCAGTCAAGTACCTGCTGTAGGGGGGAATGAAGCTGAGGCTTCTTGTTTAACCCATATATGCATATGGGAGACTGGACAGAGAAATGCCAGTTTCTTCCTTCACTGGGTGAGAAAATAGAACTGCACAGAGATGTAAACCCATGAGGTGTGCCAGAAAATACTGCAGGTAAGAACAGGGAAACCTCTGACAAGCACTAGAATATAAAATAAAAATCTACTTGCAGTCACAGTGCCACTTTTGCAATATGTTTTGGAAGGCTACAGTTGTACAACTTAACTAGACAAATTTATTAATTTTCTACCCTTAAGCCAATTTCTATTAAGACCCATTATTTTTAGAAATGTAGTCATGACTTCATAAGCCTGCTATTAACAACAGCACCTGCATGCATTTCTCAGTTTTGCATTGTTCATGGCACTCATCAAATCCCAGAAAATTATTATGAAATATATCAGTACACAATCCTACATAATCTATATTGGATTTCAAAATAAAGTGTGGCTTAAAATGTTGATTCAGCTAGTCTGCATTATGCTACTATGTGCACAAAGTATTGAATTGCATGCCTTAAAAGATAACACATTCAGAAAAGATGAACAAAAATAATGGAGTCTACTTCTTATAAAGCACTTTTTTTTTCCTTTTAATTTCAATACATATTTGTTCTTCTGCAACCTTAAAATTAGGGTGTCAAGCAGGCAAGCTGACATCAGGATATTGCTGAAATGTTCATTCAATTATTTTTGTTTTGTACTTTTACTGAAAAACATTATGAAAAAGTACACTTCTGGAATACTGCTTTGGCTTTTATAAACTAATCTTTCAGTCTTATAACATTACAAAATAAATGTATGAACTTCCACCAGTTATTTGGGTCTCAGATCATTTGCATGGATACTGATTGATTGTGGACCTCAGGTTGTGGATAAAAAATGGGTGAAACCTTGCTGTGCTTCCTGGAAGGTGAGAGATCATTTCTGATAAGGTCAGTAAGGATGGACTGAAAAACACTCAGAGAAGATGGCAGCACCCAGCAGGGCTCCTGGCACAGAGAAAAACACAAAAAAAAGGGATTGTGGGCTGGAAGGAGGCACCATGATCCTTCCTGGAGGAGTGGGAATGAGGAATGGCAATCCACAGGTCTGCTGGGGCAAGTAGGGCTGGGTGATTTGAGGTGGGAGCATCAGGAACCAACCACAGCAGTGACCAACAGCAGAGAGAATTGCTGCCCTAATGCAATGATCACCACTACTGGATAAGGTCTGAAGCTCAATGAAAATAAAAAACAGCTACAAGCCAATTGCTTTATAATTTTTATTTTATTTTTTTCTTTTTGTTGGACAAGTAACTCTATGCTTTGAGTATATCCTTCCCTTTAAAATCAGGGTAAGTTATAGGTAAATTAAACAAGCCTGAATTCAGGACAAAAGTGCTGGAAAAAGACCCTAAATGTCTGTAATAATCAGTCTGCAATGTCCAAATTTAAGACCCAAACAGTTTCTTGCTTTCACAGTGTAGGAGTCTACTGAAGGGTATGTATAGAGAGAGAGAAAAACACATCTGATCCTGAGGCTAAGGAAGGAGAGTTACAGTTTCTGTGCTGCAGCAACCCACTGTAGTCCCAGATGCCTGCAAAAATAAGCAAAGCCTGCTAAAGCACTACCCTAAGGAATGAGGGGGAATCAAAGGATTTCACTTTAAAAGTCAAAACCTTACATTCATAATATTTTGTTGCACTTAATTGCAACTATACTTGAAGAAAAATGCAGCTATTAAATTCCTTCAGCAACTGTGACTGAATCAAGCTTCTGCAGTATTTATATATTTCTGCCATAAAATGACAGTGTCAGTTTTGCAGTCCTTAAGTGAGTGTAAAATAACGTCTGACTTCTATTGTCTGTTATATATAGAAGTATTTCTGTTATTAGATGTGTCACCTAAAAATGCAGAAGACACTTCTGGTGTAAAAAGAAAACTCCCTAGGAAAATGCACAGCTAAACTTAAATGTATTGCTGAATTACGAAGCATAAAAGCACTAAGAATATTTAAAAATTCTCAAAAATCCACATTTTTAATATCTGTTTTGACAGCTTCATAATAAGTTAAAAAAATTCCCAAAAAACAGATTCACAGGTATGTAGAGTTTTATGTCTGACATTAAATATTTCTGAATATTAGATTAGAATTGTACTTCAAAGTTTTTTTGTTTTATGTTTAAATGAATTAGTTGCAACTTTATAGGCAAGAGAATGAAAACAGGATCTTGCTTACGAATTAATGAAATGAGGAATTTTGGTAACTTTAAGATTAAAAAAAAATCGGTCTTGGAGTAGATTTACTAACTTATCAAGAGCAGCAACCTCTACAAAAAGCAGGCACCTTAAATGGTGCAATATTGATCTGTATCAGATGTCCCAGCACCATCTGCATGCCCAGTCTTAAGGTTGCATTTTTTATCCAGTGAATTTTTAGCCAAGCTACTAAGTCTTAAGCCATCTGGAAGAGTTAATATCATAAGCTTGATTTTCTTGGCTTATGCTGTTTTCAAACTAGTTTTAGAGGAGAATTCTTGTGCGAAAAAATTAAGAAGTTTTATTGGCACAGACATGAAATGGACCGGTACATATATTAAGAGGATTAATTACACCAAGATTTATGCACGGGCTCATTATCATCAACGCGCAGAGGAGTTTCCGAAATTAACAAAAGGAAGGATTAGGCTTCTTGAGGCAGTGGGAAGACAGGCAGCAGGGAGACTAAACTCCTCAAACAAGGGTAAGGAGCCAGGAGTGAGCAGAGCAGAGCAGAGCAGAGCCTCTCACCTTCCACACAGGAGGGCTGAGCCCGTGTGGTTCCGGCCACCTGTCCCGGGAAGCAGGAGCACTTCACCGTCTGCGACCGCTCCTCGATCCGGTTCTTGTTGCAGCACCTGTGCACGGCCACCACTTCACACGTGCCCTGCTTCACCTGGTGCTGGCCTAATAATTCCAGACGTGAGGGGTGGAGAGAAAAAAAAAAAAAAAAAAAAAAAAAAACACATCAGCGCCTTCAGGAGGAGTCAGGTTGTGCAGTCCTACAAGATACGGGATCTCCCCAGCACCAGTTCAACCCCAGGAATGCAAAGAAGCAAAGAGCCTTGTAGGATGTCAGGCTCATTCTCTAAGTTTATATACTATTCTTTCTTATAAAATTCGTTTTTGTAAGTCAGTTTTCCAATCTGTTTTCCCTCACCCTTACAAAGCCACAGGGAAAAAAGCAGGTTGGAGTATTCAATTACATGATGAAGGCAAAAAGACAGGCAGACAGAACACACCCCTCTTCCTCTGACACCCATTAAGTTTTGTATTTAATTCTTTTCCTTCATAAATGGACAGGATAATATTTAATACAAGAGAGACATCTTAAAGAGTGGGGAAACTTTTAACACATCAACATGTAAGCACTGCTTGCTATGCTTGTCATCACAGAGAGGCTGAGAACAAGGTAGGCTGTAAAGCTGTCATGGATATCATGGATAGTCAAGTTTTGTCCAAAACAAAAAGAAAAAGAAAAACAAAACAAAACAAAAAAAAAAAAACCCCAAACCAAACAA